TGCCCACCCCCCCAGCCTATTTTGTGGCAAAGGCCACATTGTGGTGCCACCATTGGAAGATTGGGAGGTGAGTGCACTTTCTGGGGACAGCCTCTGAGAGACTGGCGTGCATCATGTATGAGGGACAAGCGCCATGTTTCATCTTTCTCCCGGTTCGTTCCCGGAGCTCCCAATCAGACTTCCCTCCTCCCCTTCCCCTCCAGGTCACATGTGCAGTGGAGACAGAGAAAGGCAAAATGAGAGTGCTCTGAACACCTAGACCCTGAATTAGGAAATCATCTCGCCACAGAGCTGAGACGAGCCTCTCCCAAGCCTCTGGGTCGTGGGTTCAAATCCAAGCCCCGCCACTTGCGTGATCTTGGGCAGTGACTTAGAGGGCGGGACGAGAAGGGCATTTTGAACACTGTCTGGAACTTTGTACGTAACAAAAGAAAGCCTTAGCTGTTAATACTGTGGCTCAGGGGCCCTGTCGGGTGGTTCAGTGGGTTGGAGCATCATCCTGTACACCAGAAGGTTGTGGGTTCGACACCCAGCTGGGTGTGTATGGGAGGCAACCAACTGATATTTCCCTCTCCCTTTCTCTTGAAAATCGATAAGCGTGTTCTTGGGTGAGGATAAAAACAACGCCATGGTTCAGGAAAGCTGAAAGGAGCCTGGGTTATCTGGAAGTAAAAGTGCCCTTAAGTCTCAGGCCATCTAGGAAGGGTTGAGCGGGGGTTATGAAGTCAAGGGGTCATTTCCCGTGGTCCACAGGATGGCGGGTCGGGACCCATCTCATCCTGTGCTCGGGTCCTGATACCCACGGACCTCCCCGTATTATTCAGATTCCAGTGAACTGTCACAGGGAGCGGAACTTTCCGTGCTTCCTGCTCCACGGTGCGCTGTTTTCCTGAGTCACCACTCCATCCGCCCTTTTCCTCCCTCGCCCACGTTAACTCCTTCAGAACCAGGCTTATTTGGGGGCCTGGGGGTGGGAAGCGGAGGGTGGCTGGTGTGCCAGCTCAGGGAAATCGCACAGTCCCGCTACCTCCCAGAAGGGTCCTTCAGATGGTGGGGGGGACCCTTTCCCTGCTCATTCTGTCTACAGAGCCTGATTGTCAACCTTCCAAGCTTATAGACTAAAGGAGTTTATTAGCAGTACTGCCTCGATCAGAATGAAATCTTTAAAGAAGGGGAAAAATACTTGACTCAGCTTTCTGGAAAAGGTCCTTAAGGTGGGCTTTGTAACCATGACGACAGCAACGGCCACAGCACAGGATGTGCTGGCCCACCAGAGGGGCAGGCCTTTATGTCAGGATGCTGACGTGCCTCTCTTGCCTCTGATGGCTGCCATTGCCCAGTTTTTCTCCCTAAGAGCCGTCATTGAAAACTGTGGCTATTGACGGATGGATATGCGTGTTTGGAACCTATTAAATTTCTGCCCTTTGGGTGCAGCCGCTGAAGCCCCATTAGCTCTGGAGGGAGTCGGTGTGTTTGTAACCAGGAACAAAATTGGGGTCTTTATGTTTTGTTGAGACAAGAAGGTTGGGGTCCTTTGAGGTAAGGGCAGCCTTGGGTCCCCTTTTGTTTTCTGTTGGGCTCCGTATTTGTAAAGTGCTTATGAATGTATTCATTTCCAGTGATCTCCCCCACCCTATTCCCCCTTGCCCAGGGAATTAAAAGAATTTGAAAGTTCAGAAGGAATTTGAGGTTTAAAAGACCCTGTTCTTGATCTTTACTGCTGGTGACACCTTTGGGAAGGTAAAGCGGGCATGGCCCTTCTTCCCACCCATAGAACTGGGTGGCACCTGGGACCCACCCCGGAAGGACAGTCGTGGTCTCCAGGTAAGACGTTCTGGTCTGGCTGCTTTCTGTCCTCTCCTCCCACTTCGCAGGTGTGGCCCTGGGGCTCTCGGAAGTCGTGCCCACCCTGGGGTTGTCTTCTGGTCAGCAGTCTTCAGGCCCCAGCTGCACCTCGCCTCCTTGCCTCACTCCATTTCCTCAGTCCTGAGCCAGCCCCACAGATAGCGGTGGGGAGGAGAGGACATTGGTTTATGGTGTTCTCTAGGTGTGAGGACTCAGAGGCCACCCCCAAACACATACCGGAGAGCATCTCAAACCAGTCAAACCCGTTTGTGAGCCTCCAGAGGGCTTGTTAAACCCTCGGTGGCCGGGGCCTGTCCAGGATTTTCTGATTCTGTAGGTCTGGGCTGCGGCCCGAGACTGTGCATTTCTAGTGAGTTCCCTGGTGAAGTCTCTGCTGCTAGCGTGGAGACCACATGTTGGGAACCATTGGTCTCAGCTGCAGGTGGGAACTTAGAATGCCCCCGGAGGAACTGGTGCCCTTTCTGGCGTCAAAGGTTGGCTGCGTATGTGCTGGGCTGCCCCATGTCCAAGCTCAGTGGTAGAGTCCTCTGGGAGTGTGTGGGAGAGTTGTGGGGGCTCTTTCTTGGCTGTTGTTTGGGATTGCTGATGTCATTGCATGGGACGGTGCTGGGGTGGCCCTTGCAGTGAGGAAGAACTGTTCCTTCCAAAATCCAGTAGTGAGTGCTCCATTGAGAAATATCAGAGCACATCACAGAATTTTTCCCTAATGTGCCCTAATTTTCCCATTGGTGTGCCTTTCCTTGTATACTTTCTTGCTTCAAAACTTACCCCCAAATGGAGAAGAACATACAAAATCTGAACCTTTGCCCAGTCGCTTTCAGTGTTCACCCGGCCAGGATGCCATTTCTTCTAGGACACATGCCCTCTGAGTTCCCGAAACACCTTTTCGAAAACAGCCAGACTGATACCTGAGCAAAGACACTTGGGTTCGTCACATCTGCGCAGATCCAATTCCAAATACCTTCCTTTGATCAGCCCCCGACTCTGTCCATATGGTACCGTTTTTTAATCCTGAATCAGGCCTCCATCATCCACTCATTCCTGGCTTTGGTTTGTACCTCCTGCTTTTTTTTTTTTTAATGTGAAATTGAACCTCCTTAAATACTCTATTTTGATAAAGTTGTCCAGACACTTGGTAAATACTATACATAAGGGTTACACAGTGAAAGATAATCCCATCCCCACCCCCAGGCAAGTTCCCCTCCCCTGAGGCAACCACCAGTGCTATTTAGAGCAGTGGGTTCATCCAGGAATATTCTAGGCTTATGCAAACAGGGAGACACATATATTACATCTGGGTTTTTTTTTTGAGGCGGAGCATGTGTGTTGGTCCCTTCATGGTGCTGGGCATATGTCGCTTTTTTAATCGGATGCGGAAGCTTGGAGACCTCAGGCATCAGCTTGTGCCCGTTGCCCTTGAAGGCCTCAGAGCCAGCCCACTGTGTGGCTGGGGTGGAGGCGTCTTGTGTGTGCTTTGCTCCTCTGTGAGGCTGTGGCTGTAGACGGTGTTTCTTGGAGGAGATTGCTGGGCCAAAGACTTTGTGAGAAAGGGAGAGTTTTGCTGGAGGAGCGGGGCGGGGATCCCTGGGGGACTGAGGAGGTTTACTCTGGGCAGCGTGCAGTTCCCAGCTGTGCCTTTGGACTGTGTTTTCTCACTCACTAGCCATCGTGTGCCTGCCTCCAGACCTGCCCTGTGCGGAGGCAGACGTCTGTGGGAGGACCCCTGCCCTTCGGGGGTCTGTTCTCTCTCCAGGAGCCTGTGGTTGGTGGCATTTAATTGCCTCTCAGGGCTGTGTCTCAGGGAGAGACCCTGAACATTGGTTCCGGATTTTCCTGGGGCCTGGCTGGTGAGACTGGATTCTGTCCCAGCCGCTCATTGTCTTGCTTTAGAGTCTGCCTGCCGCAACATGCTCCGCCTTTCGGACCAGAGTAAACCATTAGGAAGCCTTGCATGTGGCCATATTGGCCCCTGTTAATCTGCCCCCCAGTGGCTCCTGTCCAGACACAGAAGATGATGACACAGGACACAGTCTGCGTGCTGGGACTTGCCTGGGAGTTAAAACTGGAGGAGGAACGTCGCCAGGCTATCTTGGGGGATAAATCAGCTTTCCGGATTCCATGTTCCATCCCATCACCTGCACTCGCCACGTAGCTCTTCCCTGTCCTGGTGTCTGTAGCTTTCATTTCTCAGCATGTCAAGTGCGCCAGGCTGTGGCATTACGTCATCCCTAAGCTAACCAGACGGCTGTCGGGCATGGAATGGACTCAGAGTCTTGCAGGTGAAGATCGGGTGGTGGTGGAAGTGTATCTGGGTTTCAGCGAGATTCTGGGAGAATTCAAATAGGAAAGAAGGAATTGACGAAGGTGAGGTGGCATTCTACAGATGAGAATCAGTGAGAATGTAATTTGGGTCGATTTCTTTGGGGGAGAGGGACACACACAATGCCCACCCGTGGGCCGGGGCCCCGGGCACTTTCTGGCCGGTGGGTTATATTCTTTCTGCATTGGTTACACGTTGTTTGCCTGATAAACATCAATAAATGTTTCTGTCTTCCACGGTCAAGTATGTTTGCCTTTGTTTTCTTAAACACGTGGCCTTCCTGGTCAGTCTTTCCTGGTTTCCTGCTCTCGCTGTCAGGACCGGATGTGGACAAGAGATACTTCCTTGGGGTGAGGGTGATGTCGGTGCCTTTGTGGCAGCTGGATCACAAGCCTTGTCAGCAGACAGCAGCAGGGAAGGGTGGGGATTGTGGCAAAATAGAGGGCCCTTTTTCTCGTAGAAAAGCAATGCATGCCTGGTATTCAGATCGTTCTGTTGCCGTAAGGCCCTGAAGGGCCCTGATCTGGTTTTTTTTTTTTTTTGAGAGAAATCAAAGTCCGAGGTTATTTTGTGGAACCTCCCCAATTTTGTATTTTTGCAGCGAACTAAAACTTTTACACAGATGTTACGTAGGCCAAAGAGAGGCGATCTGACCTCTGAGATAGGTAACTGAACGTGGGCGGGCGGGCGTATTTTAGGAGGAGGGTTTGTGGACAGAATGCGTGGGGTCCCCCACACTGCCTCCCTGTGGAGAGGGGGGTGCCTGGGTCTCCCCGATTGCTTTAAAATGCCTGGTCCTGTGTGTCTCTTTCAGATCCTGGCTCCACAGAGAGAACAGCCCAGAAAAGGAAGTTCCCAAGCCCTCCGCATTCCTCCAATGGCCATTCGCCACAGGACACATCAACCAGCCCCATTAAAAAGAAAAAGAAACCAGGCTTACTGAACAGTAACAATAAGGAGCAGGTAAAGGGCCACCGGGAATGGTGTCCACACCTGAGGGACGAAGGCTGTGTCTCAAGAAGCACAGCTTTCTGGGTTTTTCTAAGAGCCGGTTATTGGCATTTATTTAACATGGTGCCTGCCTGGCTGCCATTGGCCTGGAACAGAAAGAGCAGCTCGAAATGGGCCCGTGCAGGCATTTTTGGCGGGTGTTCAGATGTGTTCCGGGGACAGGGTGGTGACCCAGATGCAGTGAAGATCCTGTGCTCTAGGGTTTGGGGCTTTTCCTTGGGTCTCTGTGTCCCCACCCTCCAGGGCCTTACCAGCAAAATAGTTCTCAGCTCTGCCTGGAGGCATTTGTGTGGCTGGGCATGTTCCCTTCTGGTCTCAGTTTTCTCATCTGTAAAATAATGGGTTTAGGCCTGTGGGGAGAAGCGCTGCTGTCCCCACCCATTGCTCCTAGTAATTAGTCTGCATTCCTTCTCACTGTGCAGAGACCCCGGGCAGCGGACCCCACCCTCCCGGGAGGTCAGGGCCAGTCTACTAGATATGAGTGGCTATTTGCTACCTTGGATCCAGCTAAAGAACCCTAGCTTTAGAAATTCTCTGATGCAGGCTAGATGCATTTCCGATTAAAAAACATGAGAGGTGCTTTAATGTGGACCGTGAGGCCGTGTCTCCTGGCACTGGAGGAGATAAAATGCCCTGTGGTTCTGGTACCACTTAAGCAGGGATTCCTCGATGTATTCATGCATTTTGTGCGTTCCGGAGTGCTGAAGTGAGCTCTGGGGATTTGAGGTTGAATAAAACAAGATTATTGCTTTCACGGGAAGAGACCTAGCAGCGGTGAAAGGCCCAGAACTGTGAGAGGGTGCATTTCCGCACACTAATCTATTTTCATTCCCAAATTATATAGCGGAAAGCCAGCTCTGCTTCTGCTCTGTCTGTGGGCAAGTTAACCTCTTTGTGCCTAGTTTCCCCATCTGCTGAAATGAGGGTGTGGTGGCTGCCACAGATTCTCTAGGTTGTTGAGATGAAGCGAGTGGACGACATAAATAATGATGATGATAAAGCCAGGCTCCATAGTAAGTGGAAAAACCACACACACTATATGTGCCATAATTCAACAACAGCTCCAGAAGTGTCCTAGACCTGTGCTGTTCGGTATGATTGTTCGGTATGATTGGCTCCATGTGAAGCCATGGAGCACTGGCAAGTGACACATGTGACCAAGGAACTGAATTTCTAATTTAATGTAAATTTAAGTGGCTCCCTGTAGGTACCCTGACGGACACTGCAGGTCTAATCCTATTAGAGCCGGAGAAGTTGGAGTGTCCAAGATAAATTCGGGGGGGGGGGGGCACTGGCATTTGAAGAATGTACAGTAGTGTTGGGAATAATAAAACTGCTGGTGCTTGTTGTGTGTGGTGTCCTGTGGGAAGCGCTGTCTTATGTTAATCTTTCCATGTTTTTTACTGAGTCATACTTGATATAGGACATTTTAAAAGAGATTGATCTTTAGAGATAGAGAGATCAATTTGTTGTTCCACGTATTTATGCACTCATTGGTTGGTTCTTGTATGTGCCCTGACCAGGAATCAAACCTACACCTTGGTGTATTGGGATGACTCCAGCCAACTGAGCTACCCACCCAGGGCTGGCCTATGACATTGTATTAGTTTCAGATTTTCTCCCCTTACCCCCATTTTCTGGTTTCTGTGTTAATGTTACCCTGTGAGTAAGGGCTGCAATTACCTCCATTTTGCAGATGAAAACAGGTTCAGAGAGGTTAAGGTGCCTCCTTGAGGCCTTGGAGCGAGGAAGAAGCTGCCTTTGAGTTTAGGCCTCCCTGTCACCCAGGAGCTATTACTGTACCTGTTGGGACTGGCCCTGGCTGCCCGGGAGGGTGGGGTCCACTGCCTGGGGTCTCTGCACAATGAGAAGGAATGGAGACTAATTACCAGGAGCAGTGGGTGGGGACAGCAGTGTCTCTCCCCACCGACCTAAAGACTAAGGATAAAGACTAAGAAAGAAACAGGAAGGTTGCAGATAATCCCCAAACCTTACTGCAGCCGGTCATTAACTCCCTGGGCAAGCGCTTTCTTACCGACTCCCTGTAAGTCACGAGGCAGACGCTGTCCTGTCCTTGCACCTCCTCCCTGTGTGTCCACACTCACACACACACACACACACACGCGCACGCGCGCGTCACCAGTCCCTCCCTGGCCTTTAAGAATTGGCTTGCATCTCTTTCTGGAAGCTGATTACCTTGGACAGTTCATGCATTATTCTCTCCCTCCCCTGTCTGTGTATTCACACCATTTCTGCAACGCTTACACCTCATAACCACATTGAGGTGTCTGTCCATCGGGGTCCCCCTCTGGACCGTTGGCTTCAGAAGAGTGGCCAGTGTCCGACACTTGCTGTCTCCCCATTAGACAGGCCACTACACTTCAACTGAACCGTCCTCTTCAGCCTTGGAGGGAAGGAGTGGAAACAGAGAGGGCCCCCTTCCGCCCCCCTGCACCTGGGGAACTGGCTGTGCGACCTGGGCAGTGGTTTCCTGTCTCTGAGCTTCAGTTACATTGCAAAAAAGGGTTTGGACTAGGGACATCAGCAGACTGATCGTAGGGGCTGAAGGGCCAGGAGTCGGCAAAGGGGAAATGGCCTTTGCTGTGAGGAGAGGAAATGGCTGACCTTGACTCTGTGACTCACAGTAGCACATAAAGCTTCTTCCATCTATGGGCAGCCCCTCCCATGCCCAGCCTGCTTTCCTAAGGGGAACTTAAAATCTTTTTTTTTTTTAAATGGCCTTCAGGATGCTTTCCTTTACCATTCCTTTTCCTGTTCTTTCTTTTAGAATTATGGAATTAAAGTCAAATTGTAGGTTGCAAATGCTGTGTTTGACGAAGATAATTCCCTTTAGTCACCAACATTTGAAGATGATGAGATTTCAGATAACAACTTATATTTCTGGGTTCTTATAAAACTCAGAAATCCAGCAATAGCTGGAGCTGAGTGGGTCCTGCCCCTTTGGATGTAGGGTCTGTGTGCCCTGGTTTTCCACACTCCTCACCCCTCCCTATTGTACCATACCCTGCATGCTTCATTCATTCCTTCTGCCTCTAGCTTTCTTAAGTGTTTGAGTTCTTTTGGTTTTTGGCCGTATGAGGTCTGTCCAGAAGGTATCCAGCCATGTAATATGAAAAAGAGGCATTTATTGAAGAAGATGTAAGATACAAGAAACATTGTACATACGGCAAAAACTCCTCAGTCCCCTTCAAAGTAGGTACCTTGGGACCTCACACAGTTCTCCCAATCACCACCAGCTGCCCTGTCACATTTTCCTGAATCTCACTGACAGTCTGAAATCTCTTCCCTTTTAAAGGTGATTTCAGTTTTAGGAAAAGCCGGAAGTCACAGGGCACCAAATCTGGGCTGTAGTGGAGCTGAGTCACCTGGGTAATTTGATGTTTTGCCAAAACACTGCACGAGACGTAATGCATGAGCAGGCGCATTGTCATGATGAAGTCTGCCCGTCACTGGTTGCCCATAGCTGCAGCCTCCTGAGTCATCCAAATACTTCTCATGGAGAAATGTTCAAGCGCAACACAAAATGGGGTGCAGATTTGTTGCTTTAATTGCTCAGTCATTTTGAATGTGATGGCCACACAGCACACATGCTCACTCAACAGCATTTACCGCCCCCCTGACTAGCACAGTGAAGTCATGGTTCACGTGTGTGCACCCCAGCCCACTCTCCTTGGCTGCCAGGTTACATTGAAGTCATGCAAACTGTCCTTGTTATATTAACAGTGGCCAGGCTCTTTCTGGACAGACCTCGTATATTGAGGTTCTCTACCTCCTTCCTTTTCTCCTCCCCTCTCTTCTCTTCTGTGTTCTAATGTCCTGAAAACAAAGCCATTCTGGCCTTAATTTTTTAAATCCTGTATTTTTCCATTTTGGCAATGACCTTGTATTACCAAGTGCAGGTGTGGGTTGAATTTTCAGGCTGGGACCCCATCTTCTTATATTGGGGATTCAATACTTTAGTGGCATTTCAAGAAGAGCTTTAAAACAGACTGTATTTTTAGGGGGAAAAGTATTCTAAGATTTATAACTAATTTTTAATGTGTTTTGGGCCAGTGGTGTCACCCCTGAAGAAACGTTTGAAAACATGTAGGTGTCTCTTCTTGGTTCTACTCAGGGAAGCAACCCAAAACCTAGAAGGATGCTCCTGGATTTTTTTTTTTTTAATTGTCATCTGAGGGCATTTTTCCATTGCTTTTACTGAGAGGGAGGGAAGGAGAGAGAGAAACCTCAGCGAGAGAAAGAAGCTTTGATCGGCCGCCTCCCACATGTGCCCCAGGGATCATCGGCCCCAGGACTGGGGAAGGAACCTGCAACCCAGACATCTGCCCTGACTGGGAATCGAACCCATGACCTTTCAGTTATGGGATGACACCCAACCAACTGAGCCACACCAGCCAGGGTGCTGCTGGCATTTTACAGAGGAGGGTCAGGTTGCCAAACACCCTGCAGTTGATGGGAGACAAGAAATATCTTGTCCCCAAATGGCATTGGGGCCTTGACTGCAGAAGAGCACTCTTGTCTTTAGTTCTTGGGTCATCCGAGTTTGAAGATTCCTCTTGGAAGCTCTCCTTCCTTCCTTTCTCCCTCTTTTTCTTCTTTCCTTCCCTCATCGAAGTATTGAGAAATAATTGGTAACAGACTTGTACAAAACGGCTTTAGGTATACTTTGACCAAATATGACAAAGAAATCATGGTTCCCTCCTCTCTGCTGGGTCCAGGGTGCATACCTACCATCACCGGGCCGGCTAGGACTTATTTGTTGGATCCACGCATTGTCTTAAAAACCCGGGAGTTTAATAGAAGTACTTTCCTGGGCAGGGGCGGTGTATCAGCGGTCGAGCCAGTTCAGGGGACAGGAGGGTTGCTGGCATGGTCCTGGATTCGGTGGCACCGAAGTGGGTGCCCGCCTTGCTGCCTTGGCCAGTGGGGCT